AGCCAAGAAAAAAGTAAAACATGTGAGAGAGAAACCCTCCTCAGATTCTCTAGGGTTTAGTGACTGGGAACAGAAAGATGCACAAATAATGACATGGCTGTGGAATAGCATGGAACCAAAAATTAGCGTGAACTTTATGTTCCTAGATACAGCTAAAGAAATCTGGGATCATGCTAAGAAACTGTATTCCAGACAAGAAAATACAACTAAGGTGTATCAATTGTACCAAGAGTACTTTAATCTGAAGCAAGGCAGTCAAAGCTTGGAGGAATACTATGCAAGTCTGAGGAATATCCAAAATAAGCTCAATGTGTATCATCCTCTAACACAAGATGTTCAGATTCAGCAACAACGTGAGCAACTTGATGTGACAAGGTTTCTAGTGGGTTTGAAGGCTGAATATGAGTCTGTCCGAGCACAAATACTAGGGGGGTCTACTCTTCCCTCACTTGAAGAAGTTTTTGCCCGTCTTAGGAGGACACCTGTTGAGTCTATAGAGCATTCGTCTCTCTCAGACAGATCTGATTTTGTGGTGACTAGAGAAGGAGGCTGTGGAAATAGAGGTGGTGGTGGTCGTCGTAGACTTCCAGGTAATCGTGGTGGTCCCATGTTTAACCGTGCTGGTGGTCGGAGTGGAAGTCGGGACTCAGGGGGAGGTCGTGGTAAAGGAAGAAGTAATGCCCCTAGGAAGTGCACATATTGTGAATTAAAGGGGCACACGATTAATTTCTGCTATGATTTACATGGTCCACCCAACACTTGGGCTAACCATGTTGTGACTAAGGGTAGTGGTACAGCTACTGAAAGTCAGCAAACTAACTCGATCCCCTCCACATCTACTGGTGTTTCTGGGAAGGAGATGGTGAGTGTACCCCGTGCAGTATATGAGAAGTTCCTTCAAACATCTTCTCAATAAAACATAGCTACCCTTGCCCATTCAGGTATGGCTTGCTTGGCTTCCAAGCCTTCACACTGGATCATTGCCTCTGGAGCCCCGAACCATATGTCTAGGACTCCTAATGTATTTTCTTCTCTTTCTCGGTCCTCCACATCTCAAACAGTTACTCTTGCTAATGGTTCTACATCTCCCATCTGTGGTGTTGGTGATGTTGATCTCTCCTCCTTGTCTTTATCATCTATTTTATATGTCCCCAAATTCCCCTTTAACCTTATGTCTGTTAGTAGATTAACCAAGTCACTTAGTTGTTCCATAACCTTTTATCCCTCTTCTTGTGTGTTTCAGGATCTCAAGACAGGGATGAAGATTGGTGGAGGGCATGAGGCAGGTGGATTGTATTACCTTGATGGTAGTGGCCCTCCAGTAGCTTTTCAGTCGTCTCTTACTCCTCTTCAATGGCACTGCAAACTTGGTCATCCTTCTCTCAAGGCTCTAAAGTTGTTGATTCCTTCCTTGAGTCATATTTCATCTTTGGATTATGAGTCATGTCAACTTGGAAAACATCATAAAGCCTCTTTTAGTCCAAGAGTTGATAGTCGTGTCTTGAGTCCTTTTTTCTTTAATTCATTCTAATGTCTGGGGTCCGATCAAAGTGATGTCATACAATGGCTATAAGTATTTTGTAATTTTTGTTGATGACTTTTCAAAGATGACATGGATTTATCTTATAAAAGATCGCAGTGAATTGTTCTCTATTTTTCAAAAATTTTATGTTGAAATGTGTACCCAATTTGGTGTTCATATTAAAATTCTTCGCTCCGTTAATGCCAAAGAGTACACCTCAATACCATTTCAGCAATACTTAAAGCACCATGGGATAATTCATCGAACTTCTTGTGCCTACACCCCACAACAGAACGGTGTAGCTTAACGGAAAAATCGACATCTCCTTGAAACTGCTCGATCTTTGATGCTTAATATGAATGTCCCAAAGCATTTTTGGAGTGATGCTGTCCTCACATCTTGTTTTCTCATCAATCGGATGCCCATGTCCATCCTTGGAAGTCAATCCCCCTTCTAAGTGTTGTTTCCTACCTTGTCTCCGTTTCCACTCACCCCAAGAGTCTTTGGATGTGTTTGTTTTGTTTAAAACATGGGACCTAGTTTAGACAAGTTAGATGCACGAGCTACTAAGTGTATCTTCCTTGGCTACTCAAGGACTCAAAAAGGGCATAAGTGCTATAACCCTAACTTCCATTAGTCATTTGTGTGCTCCAATGTCATCTTCTTTGAACCGGTTCTTTTTTTCATAGATGTTGTGGTTTCTTCTCCTTCCCCCATAGTTCCTCTTCTCGTCCCTGTTGCGGATCCCCTTCCCGTGGTTCCTATTCCAGTTGCAGATTCACTTCCCATGCCAGTTACTACTGAGAGGCCACCAATCAAACAAGTGTATAATCACAGAAAAGCACTAAGCCCTTCCTCCAATTCAGCCCTCGTCGACAGATCCTATCATTGCTTCTTCTCCCTTGGACCTTGATCTTCCTATTGCCTTGCGAAAAGGTAAACGCACTTGTACTTCTCATCCTATTTCACACTATGTTTCAAATGCTCACATTTCTGCTTCTCATCGCAACTTTATATCATTGCTATCATCTATTTCCATTCTCAAAACTATCCAAGAAACCCTTACCTCCCCAAGGTGGCGGCAAGCCATGGAAGAGGAACTCTCTGCTCTACAACACAATCACACATGGGAACTCACTGTTCTTCCTGGTAAGCATGTTGTTGGGTGTAAGTGGGTCTACACAATGAAGTATCTTCCAGATGGCAATGTGGAGCAATCGAAGGCCAGGTTAGTGGCCAAGGGCTATTCTCAATTGTATGGTGTGGACTATATGGAGACATTTTCTCCTGTGGCTAAAATTGGTTCAGTTCGGGTGTTGATTTCATTAGTTGTTATGTATGATTGGCCTCTTGTGCAACTTGACATCAAAAATGCTTTACTACATGGTGATCTCATTGAGGAAGTGTATATGGAGCAACCACCGAGATTTGTTGCTCAGGGGGAGGATGGTAAGGTTTATAGACTCAAAAAGGCAATTTATGAACTGAAACAATCTTCACGAACATGGTTTGGCATGTTCAGTGTAGTGAAAGACTTTGGAATGAAACAGTGTCAGGTAGACCATTCTGTGTTCAACCATGACTCAAAAGATGGGAAAATCTTGCTAGCGGTGTATATGGATGATATTGTCATAACTGGTAGTGACAGTAATGGGATTGACAGGTTGAAGAAATTCCTACAGGACCACTTCAATACGAAAGATTTGGGTAAACTAAAGTACTTCCTGGGAATAGAAGTTGCAAGGTTAAGGCATGGAATTAACTTATGCCAAAGAAAATATGTTCTTGACCTACTTGAAGAAACAGGACTGTTAGGTGCTAAACCAGTAGAGACTCCTATGGAACTTAATGTCAAGTTGAGTGTTGATGCAGRTGAAGAGTTTRATGATCCTRGAAGATAYAGGAGGTTGGTGGGAAAGTTGAATTATCTGACTATTACCCGACCAGACATATCATTTGTTGTGAGTATGGTGAGCCAGTTTATGCAACATCCTCGGATTCCTCATTGGGAAGCAGTTCTAAGGATTGTTAGGTACCTGAAGGGTGCTCCAGGTCGTGGTTTGCTATACCAAAGTAGAGGGACTCTTGAAATAGTAGGGTATACAGATGCTAATTGGTCTGGTTCTATATCAAACAGGAGATCAACTACAAGGTATTGTACCTTCCTTGGTGGCAATCTTGTAACTTGGAGGAGCAAGAAACAAGCAGTGGTGGCAAGGAGTAGTGCAGAAGCTGAGTATAGAGCTATAACTCATACCACATGTGAACTAGTATGGTTGAAGAACTTACTACAAGAGATGGGGTTCTCGGTTGACAAACCCATGAGACTATACTATGATAACCAAGCTGATGTTCACATCTCTTCCAACCCAGTCTTCCATTAGAAAACCAAGCATATTGAGGTCGATTGTCACTTTGTGAGAGAGAAAGTGATAACCACATCTCATGTGAGCTTAGGAAATCAATGGGTAGATCTCTTTACAAAGGGATTGTCTCGGGGCAGAATAGATTATATTTGTGACAAGCTGGGACTATATGACATATACTCTCCAACTTGTGGGGGAGTGTTAGAGTACACAAAACAAGGGTATTTTGGTCATTTGTGTTTATTTATTTGAGAGTGAAAGGTATGTTTTATTTAAGTTTATGTGTCCCATCACTTATGAGGGACAATATGGTCTTTCTTGTAACTATGTTATTGGAGATAAATACAAGTGGATCGACTAGAGAGAGGACTGATTTTTCCTCTACTTGTCGAACCCTTCTTCTTCTTCTCCTCTTCTTCTTCTTCTTCTCCTTCTTCTCTACTATAACCTAGGACTAAATAAGGTTTTCACACACATCAATACAGTACTGAAACTTATTTTATACAAGTTGGTAATTAAGATGCATCAAACTGGCATTTTAATGTTTAATTGATTTTAGCATTGCTGATTTTAATGTTTGATTGGTTTTAGAGTTTCTAAGTACTTTTCAGTGTGAACATGATAATGCAATTCAGTATTTTCAAGTACCATCTTTAATTGAGCTCATCAAGAAACCATCTTAAGTTTAAAATATGTTTATTTTGAAAAAAAAAAAAAAAGAAGCACCAAAACCACTCATTTCATTGTTCATCAGAAAAAGAATAATGTTCATCTAGTAAGTTAGTAAATCTTAAATTATAAAAGAGATCAGGTGCTTTCCTGAAAATCAAGACAACAGAAGTATTCGATGTTGAACAATGATTGTATACCTTGTTGTTGCAAGATAGCTTCCACTAGGAGAGAAATAAGCAGAATGAACAGCTCTGTTATGGTTAAACCTCTTGAGGTTTTTTGGCCCATCATTACCAACACATCTCAAATCCCAGATGCAGGTTGTCCCATCAGTAGAACACGTAGCCATCGAATTGGTATTTTGTGAGTTGAAGTCAATGGAGTTGATCCTTTGACCATGCAATATCCATGAACCTGAGAATTTTCTTGCTCTCTCATCCCAAACATGCAACTCTCCTTGACCCTCACCAAAATACAATGACCTTGCATCACATGGACGTTGAGAAAGAGAAAAAATAGCATCTTTAGTGGAGTAAACCAGATCAAATGATTCCTTTTCAACATCCATCAAACGAATGAATCCATCATAGCAACTGGTGAAAACCTGGATATGGTGTTCAGCAAGCATTACTTTTCTTCCAATAAATGAAATGCAACTCCAACATATCTAATGTTACCAAATTTTAGTGAAAGGACTGTAGGAGATTTATCATCAATAAAAAGGTTTACATTACAGACCAATGACCTAGTAATGTGTTCTCAATGAAAAGAAAATTAACAGCATGTATATCCCCCAATCAAGAATAGAAACCAAGCATAGCAACACACATTTTTGACTTCTGCCATCAGAAAACTTTATTGGAAAAATAAATAATATGTATATACTCTTTGTTGATTCTGCAATATCATGAGCAAGGAACTCAAGTATAAAGATGCTAGTTGAATAATCATTTCCAAAAGAACCTACTCTGACTTGATTGCTACAATAGATTTCACAAGAAGCTATTCATTTTTACATAATATTGCTGTGTATGGCACATTCACTTACAGAGGTTTAGTAACTGATTGAGTAGTGAGCACCCTCAATCCATCATTATATTATCTATATGCTTAAGTGACCAATGATACCATGAGGGGATGTTACAATTATAACAGATGGCATGTCTTCTTTAGAAGAAAAACCATGCCCAACCCCAAAGCCAACTTGGGTAGGAATGTCAATACAGCAATAGAAATGTTGATCACTTGATCCAAATCTTCCATCCCAAGAGTAGAGTTCAATGACACAGATAGAGTTACATGAAGATGGCCCAAATGTTTTGCAAGACTAACAAATAGATGTAAACCAAATGCATCAAAGAGAAACAGAACCATTTAATGGACAAGCGTCAGTGTTTCCCATTAACAGCGTAGCTTCTTTTGTGACAGAATAGCCAAACAAAAAATAAGAGATTATAAAAATTGAAGGTCTAGATGCATTCCCATAGATCCTATACCAATAAAACAAAGACGAATTTCCATAAGCTAAGTTGTAAGTATGGCCCAACTCAATTTTTCACATTAGATTTCATTTGTGACCTCAATTAAAAAAAAAGGAAATTAGATGGATAATATTCCATGTTATCCAAGTTAAACCCAAGTGAAAAGAAGTAAAACAATTCAACAATTCATAGTAGCATTGCAACATACCTTAGACAATGAATATGGTTGAATCAAAATTCCCGAGATGGGACCCGAGTGGGGGCTATACAAATAGATCCCATCTCCTTCCCCCTCACTGTCAGCATCCCAAAATGCAAGATTTCCAAATTTGTTTCCAGCAACAATAAGCGTTCGGTCCTTGGTAGGAAAGAATAGCACATTCAATATCCTTCCAGGCATGACTCGTGCAATATTCTCCGGTTTCAATGTCAGGGAAACCCAATTAAAGCAACCACCAGCTTCAGCCTTTTCCTTTTTGATTGGAGTTGGGCAACTAAATGCAACATTTTCTGCTATGCCTTTGGTCATGTGACAAAAACTCCCACCCTCATCAGGTTCTCTCTTGATCAATCGACCAAAAGAGTGATTTTCCGACACACCCGTCACTGAGCCGTGAGAGCTCCCGTTTATGGTAGGCTCCCCCTTAACTGGGCAAACCTCCTGCTTGACTGAATAACTCGATGGAGGACTTCCCGAGTTACCCATGACTGCTTCCTGAGAGCCATTATGATCGGAAGGTTCCGTCTTGATTGAGCAGGATTTTCTCCCGTTCATATGATTTTCTGACACATTCGTCACTGAATCGTGAGAGCTCCCGTTCATGGTAGGCTCCCCCTTAACTGGGCAAACCTCCTCCTTGACCGCACGACTCAATGGAGGACGTTCTGAGTTACCCACCGCTTCCTGAGAACCATTATCACCGGAAGGTTCCGTTTTGATTGGAGAGGTCTTCCTGTTGATTGAGGAGCCCAATGGAGCGTTTTCCGACATTATCATGATGATATCTATAAGGTGCCGGTCAGATGAAATTCCGCTATAAGCATCTCGCATACTGATGGGACCCAAGGTTCTGCGGCAAGGCTTCAGTTCAGGAGGAGATTTGGAGGTCTTCTTGGGGGAGGGAACAAGGTCGTCTTCGAGGCCTTTTGCGGATTTTGAGTCGGGCGGTATTCCTCGGGCACGCAGAGACCGCCGGATTACAACTGGGGTTTCGGTTTTGAGTTTCTTTTTAGGGGAGATCTTATAAACCTTTTTCTCAGCTCTGCCATGAGAAAGCAAGCAAGCCGACCCAAAAAAAAAAAAACAAGATAGATGATTAGATATAGAAATCAGAAGAGAATATAGTAATCTACGGTGCGTTTGTGTGTGAGACAGAGTATGTGTGTGTTACCTATCACGCTTGATTGCAGAAGAGAGTTGTTGAGCTCTGGAACGGAGTTTCAGAGAAGCCATCATCTCGCCATTACGTTTTATGTTCTCGAGCCTTCGGCGCTCGTACTCGGTCAGAGTTTTAGATGCCATGGGAGCAAGCTCACGTTCACACCCCAGAGACAAACGCAGAGAGAGAGAGAGAGATGTTGGCTTTGTACTGGGTGGTCTACGAAGTAAAGGGATTTGTACCAAAAATTTATACAAGTTTCCAATAACCGGTATTTTACAGTCGAGCGGGAAATGAAATGGCGGGAATAGAAAAATTGGACCGGAAATTCCTATCAGCGACGCCTCTAATGAGTGCTACAGCAAAAACAAAGGAATTCACATCTGCCCCAGAGAAATTCGAGAGATATTCCCAATGCACGCTTAGATGTGCATGTGGGGCGCCTCTTTGGGGCGCAAATGTGATAGTCTATAGTGTTAGGACATAAGATGTCTTACCCACATCATTTTTTCACAAAGTTCATAGAATCGGACCGGGCATAGAACGGAGTCCGGAGAAGAGAGAAGTTCATGGGTCATAGAGGTTCGGTTGGGGTTGAATCAGAGATCGAACCATGATGACATCATATATATATATATATACTACAGGTCATATAAATACTAATATTTTACAATGTGATGCTACGCAATCCGGTCGGTCTTAGCTGTCAACGACCTTGTCTCTGAACTGAGTCGCAGAGAACCTGAAATGGAGAAGATGAGGAAGCTCCGGGGGGAACCCAGTGTAAAAGCTCCGAAACTTAAGTTAGAATCCTTCAAAGGCAAGATAAAACCAGATAGCGCAAAGTTTCCATCCCATGTTCTTGGGGGGTAAAGAGCCTTTTATAACCACCTC